CGGCTTGGTGATGCCCTGGATGTTGTCGCGCAGCACCTTGCGGTGCCGCTTGGCGCCGCCCTTGCCGAGCCCCTTGCCGCCCTTGCCCCTGCCGGACATGCTGCCGCTGAAACTCGCACGACTCGCCGCGAGTGGCGGGAAGCGGCGCCCGCGCCCGCCCTATATGGCCGGCGGTCCGACCTGGTTGGGGACTGGCGCGCGCGGCGGGGCCGCCCAGGGGCGGGCTCTGCTCCTGCTGCTTCGCTCCGCTCCGCTCCCTGCCGCCCCGCCCGCTCCCCGGGCCCTGGCGCGGCCACGCTCCCGCGCGCGGGGCGGGGCGGGGCGGGGCGAGAGGCTCCCGGCGCTCGGAGCCCGCGGGGGGCGGCTCCGCCTGGCTGGCGGCAGGAGGGGCTGCGGGCGGGCGGGGGGCCCGAGTCGGCAGCGAGACGCGGCCGGTGGGGGCGGGAGCCCCGGAGCCGCCGCCCCGCCCTCCCCGCCGCCATTTCGCGTCGCGCCGACAACGGCCCGGGGGGGCTAGGGGGGGGCATGTCGTGCAGGCGGCTTGGTTGCACCTCGTCGCCTCTTCCTGTTTATAAAATCAACTTAGAATCTTATATTGTAATAAGATTAGTATAGAATTTTACACTCCAAGACGATTAATGTACACATAATTTTGCATATTGATAAGAATTTCCACCTATAAGTTATTATCATATGTTCCTTTTTAACTCTAGTCACACCTTTTATATGCATTTTGTTGATAAATACGATGATTTAGTCTTCCTGTTATTTCTGCTTACAACAGTGGTTTTTTTAGCGGATACATTTATATTGCCACTATCACAGAGAAAAGCACATCATCGTAATGATTTTTTCATTGTTTTCAGACATTTTGTCAGCAATATCATCTCAAAAACTACACTATATTGTTCACTCTCTCATTATCTTTTTATTCCAATTCATAGCTTTTTTTCAGTGCTACAATTTCATATTGCTGAAATATATGGCACATATGTTTATGGAGTACATTAGTTATTAGAAAATCTTCTGGTAATAGTGACACTCCACAATTTAAAATACGAAGTTAGAATGCTTTCCCTCTAGGTAGCTAGATATACAGTATATAACACAAACAGATTTCACGTTTCCACACGTCTGAAAGAGCACCCAACACCTCCCAGTAGGAGACAACTCTGATTTGATTCTAAGGTCCATTGCACACTTAGAAACCAATTTCCCAAATTATTACGTCCACGTAAAGAGCTGTAATTCAACATTAGTATATTTGGAATAACCCTAATGCCTCCTCCTAAACTTCTCCCCTTGATGGTTAAGTTGGTCTAGGACTTTTCCTTGTTTATCTCCACTAGTTTTAGAAAATGTTCCCTCCCTCCCTCCCTTCCTTCCTTCCTTCCTTCCTTCCTTCCTTCCTTTTCTCTCTTTTTTTTTCGGCGGGCGAGGGAGAGAATTGTGGGGTTTTTTTCTTTTTTTCTCCCATTAGTCTTTGGTGTCAGCGTTTTACTCCGTAAGCCAAAGTTGTTTACATGAATCCTTTGCTTTTCCTCGTAAGATAACATAGTTCTCCAATAGTCCTAGTTGATGGCGCTGTAGAATGTGGGATAAGAGATAAAACATAATTTATGAATTCTATTTGTGTGTGTGAAGCCAATCTGGACAACAAGCACTATCAGAAAAAGAATTCTGCTTCTGGATTTCAGAATGTGAGCGGTATGTTCCTGAAAAAAAAAATCTCTGCAGAACCCACCCAGGAGCTGTAGTGGCAAACCATTAAGTTTTAATAAAAGTCATATTAGGCTGTATCATGGAAAAACATCTTCTCATTGCCTCTTAGGGACTTCCAGCCTGAGGAGTCAATTGAATCGATGAAAGCTGCACCTACAAGACAGGTGGGGTTTTTTTGTTGTTGTTGTTGTTGTTGTTTTGTTGTTGTTGTTTTGTTGTTGTTGTTGTTGTTTTTTAGGAAACAACTTCATTAAAAAAAAAATAGTGCCTCAAAGTTATACTCATTGAGCAGTGTAAAGTGGGCTACCAAGTCAAGCTCTGAGGCTGCTCAGTTGCACCGCAGCTGCTATTGAAGCCTTTTCTTTGTTCTCTGCCTTCTGACTCCGGCTCCTGACTAGAAATGTTTATTTCTGTGGGAGACTGCAAAGCCTCGGTCMATCATTAGCACTTCCATTGTTGTTAAACTGGGATGGGGAACTTAAAGAACTTCCCGTCCACGTCAATAGCAGTTTAGATTACCAAGAACCTTTGTAAAAACCTGATTTCTCTGTCCCTATAGCCCGATCTCTAATCTCGACTCCTCCACAGACACTTCTGGAGTTTCACTTTCCCTTCTTTTTAAGAACCTCAGCTTCCTTTATAGAAAACTACTAATGTTCTCCCAACTCCCTCTTGTGCTCTTTGTTTTATTTCCAGCCCCCTACCACTCCTCCTTAACTACCTCTTAAGAAGTACRTCAGAAATAATCGACCTGCAGTTATCGGCTGATTTTTCATTTGACAGGCTAATAGCAAGCAGTAACTGTTCAGGTCATATCTGTTCCCTTTACTCAAGGGAAAGTCTAGCCTATTTTGGTTCTCCTTATCTGATCTTCACGAAACCTGTTTGAAACTGAATGTCTCTCAGACTTACATCATCTGTCGCTTTTGTCTGGGACTGACCAACAGACTCAAAGGGATTATTAAAATAGTGTTAATCTGAATAAGATGGTTTTGGTTTTGTTTTAAGCATAAGAACTGTGTGTTTTCTGTCCCAGAATTTACTGCTAGACCAGAAGCTATGGGTTTTACCGTTGCTGAGATTGTCCAA